AATAAATTTTAGCAGTTCGGAGGTTTCATAACAACCACTAACTAAACCGAGTATGTGATTTTTTTGGTGCCCCCTTTATCAGTAGTTCCTAAGAGAACGCCTATAAGGTCTTTTATGAAGTGGTTTTCAATGTTTTTTTTTATGTTTTCGATTTTTAAAAATTATTTTTGGTGGTTAAACAAATCGAACCTGTTGAAATGTAGAAAGTTATTCCAAATTTTGATTTATGTCAAACAACCTCCGCAGAAACTGTTCTCTGTTTTTTTTTAAAATTAAAGATGACTCTTAAAACAGAGTTCACGCATTTGAATGTTCCCTAACTGAGAAAAAATAAAATAGTTAGCGATTAGTAACTTTTTTTTGAAAAAAAATCAACTAGAATACTATAAGCGTTGCGCACTTTCGGATCATTTCGTTTTACTCTAACATTTACTTCTTTGCCCTTGATTCAGCAACCCACCTTACACCAACTGCTGACAGCTCCCCAAGTGGAATGCTTTTGTGAGGATCCTTCAAATCTCCGCTCATGTTAACACCTATAACATTGATATTTTATTGATTTAAGAGTTAGATGCTTCAAAGTCGTAAAAGTTGGTAAATTTCGGTTGTTTATACTACCTGCTAATACGCCAAGGAAGTTGGCAAAGAAAACTCCAAACACTGTGAAGAATGACTGATCTGGTATGATACGGTCAAACCCAATGGGTGTACAATTTACAGTTGCATACATTGGATCCGCATTCTCACGCAGACGAGCATATGAGAATCTTGAGATACCATGAACTGAAAGGAGGTTTTAGATTTTGGAAATTTGGATTGTAATATGAACTTTCATTAATTTATTGAACTCCTAACAAGGGAACGCAAATAATTTAAAATGACCTTTTTTATGTGTATATATACTAGTGAGCGGTACTTATGGCTCTTTTCATATTTGTCTTTATATCTGCAAAACATTGTTTTACGAAGTTATGAAAATTCTTCTCTGCCTGAAATAAAAACACTTTTCCAGAAACTGCTTGAAGACAATTTTTCGGGCTGAAACAACATTGCAGGTGTTCATTTTTCAAAGAAAATTAGAAATTATCGAAATTAAGTTTTATCGCTCATTTTGCCTGAAGTTAAACTTTCACAAATTCAAAAATTCAAAGGTTCGCAGGCCATTTTTAGAGCAAGAAAAACCTCTACAAGTCCTTCCAGAGGAACGTTCCGCAAATAAAGAAGGGAGTTGAACCTAGCGTTCCAAATCCTATCTATCATAAATACATATTTTGAAGGGCCATTTCAACTTATTTGTGTTCTCTTATCTAAATTACTTACAACATAGCTTCTGCTCTAAATCTAAAACTTGCTTGGATCTGAGGTGAAAAGTGCTCCGAAAAGAAAATCGAGCACAGCCAAAGCTAGACAACCAAGCAGAAGAAGCTGTAAGCGCACAACCCATGATACACCTGCTGTGTTGATGCCTAAAATAGAGATTATTAAGGCGAATTCATTCCAAATTTATGGAAGCTCTGTTTTTTCCAGCGCATTTTGGTATATTTCATGAATCTCCAGCCAAACTTCATTAGTTGAGGCAAAATAGTTTGTGAAATGCTGTGGTGGTGCTCACACACATATGGAAAAATTACTGTAGTTCCAAGCCTAAAATTTGCTGTGTTATGAAGGCTTTTTTGTGTTTTGTAACGGTTATTAGAGTAAGCGACGGCTTAAGAAAAATTGTTGAAACGAGTACTGCAAAAAAGGTTATTTCTTACGGAATCCACTTTGACTACATCAGTTTGTAACATTTTTATATTAGTGTTAGCTAAGGCTAGTGACGAAATGGCGAAATCATTGTAATCGAATTTTTGCTGATGAATCATGAATACTTCCGCAGTCGAAGTGAAAAATTAACGTACACAGAAATAACTTACCAGTAAGCACAGCTAGTGTAGCAATAGCAATTACTTTGGTAAATACTCGGCTTTCAGAGTCGAATAGATGTGCGACAGATTCGGCGAAACCAACGGCAACGAGTCCAGTAGCCACTGCCTAAAACTCGCAAACAGTCCAAAACCTGGAAGCAGTAACACTCTTGCTAGCTTTCAAATTCCTCAAATCCAATAAGGATACGCGCAGTTCAAAACGTAGCTTATTTGGGGACGAGGCCAAATTGGGACTTTTCGGTCGCTGAAGCAGTATTGCTTCAAGTTAATTTCATCTACAGATTAAAGAACTTCAACGTGTTCGTAAATAATAAGAGATGAGCCCTTTCTTAAGTTTCTTCATTTTTACTAACGTTTATGAAGAAGAACTTTTAACAGGGGTCGAAGGTATTAAGAATACAAATTTTTAAAGCCATACCACCCAAATGAATACCGGCTTCGTATACGTACCTGACCGAGAGCATACATCAATCCTACAGCTCCACCTATTCGTCCACCGAGCACATGCGAGACAAGAAAGTAGATGCCACCGCTCTGCAATTTTCATATTTCATTCTCTAGTCTTCCTCATTCTACCGACATACTCATGTATAATACTTTTTTAACTTAAATTAGCGAATTTAAAAGAAGATAACGAA